CTTCAATTTTGCCATTTGGACAAATGGCAGTCACGTTGATAAGAATTGAGTTTCTTTCACAGAAACATCGTTCAAATTGAGTGATTATTCGACGAATGGATTGAGCGACACATGAGACGTGCATCTCATAAACTGGGGAAAAAAGATCAATTATATGGATTATTTTCGTTGAATGCGCTCATGCCGAAACTATTCAAAATGAGACAGACTCTCGAGATGAACGAATTCAAATGAGCCCATAATTCAATTAGATTTATCTCGACTCCTTTTCAATCGATTCGCTTATTTAATTGAAAAATCCAAATCTAAACGAAAAGTCTCGCGACGACACAATTTCATGGAATTTAATTTATTTCATTTCCGAATGGGAGCATTGCTGAAAAATAATTCCAAAACAGTCAATGAATGCTGAAAAAAAAACACCGGGATCAATATGTGTTTGTCGTGATGAAGATGACTGCTTTTGCTGGTGCTGATATTGTCGTTGCTACTGAAAAAGCCGCTCTACGAGAATGATTGAATGGTCGTTAGCACTAATTAAGCGATAACAAGGCACATTTAACGTGCATTAACCACCGTTTAGGCATTTTAGCCAAAGGAAGACCATGAGATAAATGCCGGGGCTTTAAAGGCACGATGTGTGTGTGCAAAGTGAAATGTTTGGTCGTTCATCAAAAGACGAGAGAGCGAACGAACGAACGAAGTAAACATGGTTTACAACCATATTGCTCATTGCACGCATTATGGTTTGGGCCAGCCATAAGCCACATATATACAGCGCTCAAACAAAGCGGATAGGATAGATGACCAGGTAATGAGCTGAAAACGCAAATGCAATTGTTTGGGCTTGAGTAAATGTGTGTGTGTGTGTGTGCTTTGTATACGAAAGCAGTGTAGTGTTTCAATAGATTGGCTTGTTGTTGCCATTCGACGTCATAATCATAATCATCCATGCATTGACATGGGCTTTGTGTCAGCCTCCTCACACGGAAACCGGTACTGCGGTGGTGAGGAGAGAAGTATACGTGTGTGTGTGCACATCGCATTATGGCTTTGACGGGAAAAACGCGCCCGTTCGGCGAAATTCATTGAAAATTTGCGGCAGAGTTGTTGCTAAATCGACTCCATTCACCGGTAATTGAAGTTCATGCATCATAATTGATAGCAATTTTCGATGAAGAAAACACAGAAACACTCATCAACGTTTTACAAATTGTTTTCGGCATTTTTGCGTTCAAGTGAAGCCGCAAATAAAGCCTCGACACAATCTAATGCACATTATGTGCATATGGTTGGAGTTGAGAGTCAACAAGAGACAGAGACACAGAAAGAGAGAGGAAAAGAAGAGAAAAAGAGAGAGTACGACGGAGCGATGGAAATCGAGTTGAAAGAGAGAGAGACAAAGATAAACGTAAAATCACACAGTATGTCTCACTGCGAAGGCAAAGAGTGACGATACAAAACAGTGTCTCGTACGATGGTGCACACGGTCAATCATTTTACCATGCAACTACATGCACTATTCATATATTCTGCTGTTTTATGTCACTCTCATTTCGCAAAAGCATCGATGAAAATTGAAAATAAAACTGAACGATAGTAAAAAATCAATCATACACTTCAAAGTGCTAGCCATCGATTGATAAATCGGTGTAGACGGCGCGCCGCGTTTCATTGATTGATGCGATAGAGTTGCCAATATTTTTGCAATCATATCCCGAGAGCACACATAGAACCGGCAAAGTGAGGAAAAGAATTAATGTGCATGTTCGGCGAACGGGTGATGTGGAGGCCTTACATTTCGTAATAGTTAAGCCTATGGTGCGTTGGCTGTTTGTTCGCTTGCTCATAGCTCAATTTAGTTTTGTGGGCTCGTTCGTATTGACACCTTAAGTGCTGTTGCCATCTCGTAACATAGAGAAACCACAAAAGTTTACTCCGCAGCATTGTGCACGATTTACGTTTCTTCCTCATTGTTTACATCGTCTCGCAAACAAAATGCAACACATTGCGCCATCGATTTCTGAGAAGAAGGGAAAAAGAGCGAACAAGTGAGTGAATGAGTAAGCTTGTAGGAGAGTAAGAAGTAAAAGCGAGCAAGAATGAACGAGCAAGAGCGAAAGAACTACGAGATTATTACATAAAATATTGTTTGTATGGAATTCAATCGATCTTCATTGAATCATAACGGAATGGCAGAGTCGAGTCTTCTCATTTCGCATCGTTGCTATCGCAATATTAAAACATATTTTTCGATTCTATTCAAGTTTATCGAAGCATCAGCATTCTCGATTCGAGAGCTCAATGTGATTGCTCTTTCTCTCCATATCGCTTAGAATTTCTCTGGTTGAGCTTCAATTCAAGTGAATCGCCAAGTTTACCAAAGGATTTTCATATATTGATTTTTTTTCTGCGCCTGCTGCTGCTGCTTTCATTGTTGGTGGTGCTTGTCTACTGTCATTTGAATTTTGTTATTGTTCTTTGGCCAGATTACGTTTTAATCGTGACTTAATTCATGACAGCTCTTGACAGCATCAAACAGCGATTAATAAAATCGGAATATAAAAATCTCATTATTCACCGTAAACACAGCTAGTCACTTGATCGCTTGCGTTTTTTGTTTCTCTTTCCAATTTAGAAAAAAATGGATTTGTGTCAACGCAGATACACACAAACACAGCTCTAGTACTTTCGATTTTGTTTGTTCAACAACGTGTGGCTGGTCATTGACCAAACGAACGAACGATATTGTGCTATTTGTTGTTGAAATCGTGTTTGTATCCCTGAATCGAGCTCCGCTGTAACATGATATTTGTAAATTATATTCAAGAGCAAGAGAAACAGTACACAATTAAGCGGCTATGAAAATGAATACAAGATGCAACAAGGGGCCGACAACATGGTGAAAAATTCAATACAAGCGACGGAATTTTCAGAGATTCGTTTTCAATGATTTTTTTTCGGAAAATGCGTGTTCCATGGACAATAGTCCAAAATGCTATACTCGAACACACTCAATCCACTTGAAAGAAATCGATTTTTTCATTGATTCAACTTGACTATATAAAGAGAGTCTTGAACGACTTTAGTCTTATACTTCCTCAGAGCATTGAAACGTTACTATCATATGAATTCTATGCATTTATTAATCTTGTTCTAGTGCTTGTTACACGAAGATATGATTATAGACTCGTTGCGATTATATTTCATTGTGGTTTGCTTTTCGAACCATTTGTAGGGGATATTCACCATTTTCTATACTTCCAAACAGTTTCGTTTCGTTCATTTTACCCTCTGTGCACATCAAAATCGGTTATCGCGATGGTGAAAAGTCGTATGAAGAACGCCAACCGCAGCACCCTCGCTTCATGAATGAACCGGCCGAAATCCATTACATCAAATGATTGTATGAACACCGATTCGCTTCGGTTTCTATCCACCTCGTCCCTTCTCTTTCTATTTTATTCTCTTCGTATCCCGGTCTCTGGCTTTCTTTTCCTCTCGGTTTTGCTCCCCGTTTGGTCCTTCTCTCCTCTTCCCTTGCTTCGCCGTAGGCACCAAACTTCCATTTCTCTCTCTCTCTTCCTCAAAAGCACATTCGCAACGTAAATGACGAATGCAAATTCAAAATCCACCATAAAAGATTTAAACCATCCATTTTGCCAACACTGTTGCAAGCTGAATCCAACGGTAGTTCCATATGGAAAGTGATAATAATCAACTCCATAGGCCGTCGTTTTATTTGTTTGTCGTTGATTATTGTTACGCGTGCATTGATTCTAAACAGTGTCACAACGAGGATTACGGTGAACTTAGATGGATTCATTTTCGCGGATTCAAACCAAATCCATTCCGAAAAGAAAAAATTCAATGGTGCAGAATAAATACTTCTCTGATTCAAATCAGCTGTGTGCATTACTTGAACACAATTGTTTGCCGCTGTTGTTTCTTTGTTCAACCAAAAAATGAAACTTTCCATTTTCGAGCAGCCACCCTCAAATCACTTGAATGTGATGGGTGTGGGCGCACGAACTTCGTTTCACTTTACATGGGCGCTCGCAACAACTGAAATTCAACACGATGACATTTCTATTGTGAAACTTTCGATGAATTCGATTTTTATTTTTCTTTGACGCGCTTTTTGTCTTTGTTTCGCCCATGAATTCGTTTTTCGTCTTCTTTGTTCGCTTCGGCAATGTCTTAATAATCAATGCAATTTAAATGGGCGAGAACTAATCAACAATGACAACAACAACAACAAAAAAAAACAATCGGCATCAAGTGACACTCCAGAAATGAAGAAGAAAGTTTATAAAGAGATGGCAACGAACAGAGAAGCCGTAATCAAATTGCTTGAATCATGATTATGCTCGGTGGGTGAATGGGAAAGGAGGACAAAAATGAAGCTAAATACGCATGAGAAGCCGAGTTCGATGAGCGTAGGAAGGTGCGTCTCTTTAGCGTTGCACATAATTATGCATGAGATAATTAGCTGCCCATCAATATCGTGTGGCCCATAACAAGCGCATATCACATGGCAAATCGAACTAATTGAATCGAATAAGATAGGCGGCCAATGGATTCACAATTCACTTTTGATATTTTCGTCACTCTGTCTCGTTTATCTCGTTCTATGACATCGAATTTGTGTAGCACGAAGTATCTTACTAAGACTAAGGCAGTCTTAGTCTCTTGATCAGTCTTTTCCTTTAGACGTTTTCTTATTCTTCTCATTCCTTTCGTACTATGCAATTGCAATTTTCCTTCTATTCTGATAAAATAAATTGATTGCTGCAGCGTCAATCAATTTCTCTTCGCGCCGCTCTTTTTCCGGCCGATTTTATGCGTTAAAACACTTAAAATAGTGTGTTCTGATCGATGCGTAGCGAATATCTAATCTATTCATATGGAATTTCAATTTCAATGACACCCATTTGCTTAATTTTTCTTTCATTTTCCTTTTATTCACTTTTTTCCTCTTGTTTTCTTTTCATTTGCAGAACACGAGCCCGCTATGGGAAGATTTTATGGCCAAAGCGAATAAGCTGCATGTGTGCTTACGGTAAGTAGCTTAATGGAATTTTATCGATTTCTCTTTATCACAAAACTTACACTCAATTAATGTAAATATTCAAATGATTGGCGGATCGGGTGTACGTGTGCGAGAGAGAGAGAGAGAGAGAGAGAGAGAGAGAGAGACCGCGAACGCGGCGAGCGTTTGTTAATTTCATTCAATTTGTCGGTTGTGCGTTGGCATTCAATTACGCGAGATCAGTAGCCACCTGGCTTCGATTGGAGTGAGACAAACGAGTTTAGGTTGGAAATGATATGGCTGCGCGCGGAGAGTGAAGTACTTTTTTGCAAAGCCATGGCTACCAATATATTTAATTGAAGAGAAGTATGTAAATGACACCTATGAGCTATGAATGAATAGAATGCTCGCCTTTCGATATTGCATAGCACACACCGCAGTTCGAATCCAATCGGATGGGAATGTAGAACAACATCGTTAAATCCATAACCATCACAGTTTGGAGTGTTTTTCATACCGCTATGAGACCATTGAAAATTGCGAGCGCGAGCTCGCGAGCAATCCATTATCAACACCCGTGCGCATCGCGCAATAAACACGAGCATCAAATATAGTTTTTCGATAGAAATATTTTGACGCTCACGCTCCAACTTCAGCTCGCCCGCTACATATTCTAAACCGGACATATATTTTTTTCTACATCGAACATGGTGTTTAATTAGTACTTGAACACATGAATGAACGAGCCGAACACACGACTCAAGAGCTCAAGAGCCAACGATTGCACCCAACGCAAAAAAAAACGACAGTCGAACCAAATGAAAATGTGCTGTCGTTATAAATTAAGCAATACACGAGATCAACATAAACCGTATAAATAGGTGTGTTGTTTTTTGGGCAATTTCCGACCGAATTTACTATTCACTTTTGTACGCATACACACGACGCAATGAAGCGCTGTTCATTCATTCATTCAATTCCATTTCAAGCCCATAAAAATATTTGTTAGCAATTCCAACGCTGTTTGTCGTTTGTTTGGGTATTAAATAGAGAGAATTGATTGCATGTTTGTAAATCGTAAATTTCCTTCCGAACGATACGAATTTTGGGCGGGGTGTGGGGCACCTCCTGATGCGAGCGCACAATTATGGATTGTCAACCAGAGTGTTTTGGGTTTTGCATAATTCGCAGCGTGTGCAAATCGTTTGCACAGCGAGAATATTGAAAATAACCGAAAATTTGATGAGCCAGCCAGCGCTCTGGGCTCTGGCGCGTATCATTTGATCTTTCTTTCATTCGCTCGCACAATTAAACGTTGAGATTGTGCGTTTGGCCAAACACATTAAGCAAACCGACCCGAAACAACAAAAAAACCATCTCAAAATCTCGGAAATGCGTACCAACGCACGAATGCCTGCACATTCAATTCAACAAGAATCAGTTTTCATTCGGAACTCAATTCGGAGAGAATTAATGTGATTATCGCATTTCACTTTCCGTTTCTTCTTATTCTTTTCATTCAGTAGTGCGAGTTGAGCGCTCGCGCGCGCCCGCGTACGCTCTTTGATGGATTCGAAATGCGTCGTCGCTTTCAAAAGCCAAAACCAAATAAATATTCAAAGTGCCACTCATCAAAAACCAAATGGCATCAATGTATTTTTAGTTGTTGACTTTTTGGATAAACAACAAACAAAACGAAGGAATATTAAATTGAAATGGAAAAAGAAAACCACAACAGAAGCGAGCAGTTTTGAGAACGGCAACGACGAACAAAAAAGCAACGATCAGAGCGAGAGAGAGAGAGATGGAACGAGAAATAATGGACGGGAAAAAGTGCTCGAGAACAAAAACCAAAACACTCGATGCATAATTATGAGTTTCAGTTGGTAAAAACGATTAGCTAAGCGGAAGTTGACCCAGTTCTCAGTTTCGCTTTTTTTCACTACTCAATATGCGCAAGTACCGACGAGTATTTTGGTCGGATTAGTATGATCGGTTGAGAGACGAACTATTATGTCACTTCCTTCGCCTCTTTTGATGAGCCACAGTTTTTTTTTCGTGTGTTTTGCGTACAAACATGTATCAAATGCGCGCGATTTTGTACATCATACGACACAACCTGGGCTATCCTCATTCATATGTTTTCTTTTCAAACTCAAATGGTCGCAAGCTCGAAAATTTTACGTTTAAATCGAGTTGTTGCGTGGAAAAGATCAAGAGAATATCGAAGTTTATATAAATAAATCAAATTTTTGTACAAAAAATATGACTTTTTGTATGGAAAAAACAAAATTTTCGACTGAAAAGCCCAATTTTCCTTTGAACAATCAAAAACGCTATTAGTTATCACTCATTCTTGCTCCAACTTCCACGAACAATCCCATTTAGTGCTAACTACAAATCAAATTTTTAAATCAAAACTTTGAATAGTTGCACATATTCTGAATTGCAGTTGTTCATTCGTTCATTTTGAATTGTTGTTCCGTTGTTGAATTCAATGCGAGTAGTTGAACTTATCATTTGGCTGCAATCTCAAAAGCATTCTGAACAATAGGGAAATCGGATCCGTTCATTTTCGTTGAAAAATTTATTTAATCCGTCATGTAATATCATGCGATCGTCGTCGTCAGCAGCAACAGCAGCAGTAGCGAAAAAAACAACGATTTACATGAGACTCACTTGAATTTTGATTCAAAATGCAAACGAATTGCGATTTGAATGGAACGAAAAAAGTCCAATACATGCACAACAGTTGAAAAAAAAGTAGAGTTGTGTATTCGATTACACTTAACCTTGAAATAGCAATGCAATACATAGTCACATGAATAACACACACACACAATGGCTCGAACGCAATGCGGCTCGTAACTTGTGCAATTGTTAGAGAAATTCCAATGTAGAATGAATCGCAGAAAATGAAGAGAAAAAAATTGAAATGAAAAAAACAAATAAGCGGATACTGATAATGATAATAAATGAAGCAAAGACTATGACCAAAGTCAGCCCCCGAGCAAAAGAGCAACTACGATTGTTTCATTAGTGTGACGCAAACAATAGGCTCGAAAGTTTCGGTTTGTGTGCGGTTTAACATGTTGGGCCTTGTCGGTTCAATCATTTTCACAGTGATTATTGGGCAAATGCACCGTTTTGTCTTCGTTGTTCCCGAAAAATCATATTTAAATGGGCTAGTCATTGTTGACAATTTCACTCTCTCTCTCGCTCTCTCTCGCTCTCTCTCTCTCTCTCTCTCTCTCTCTCTCTCTCTCTCTCT